AAATAACCAAGAGTTGAAATGTTATCACTAAACACTAGTAGTTACAGAAATAACCAAGAGTTGAAATGTTATCACTAAACACTAGTAGTTACAGAAATAACCAAGAGTTGAAATGTTATCACTAAACACTAGTAGTTACAGAAATAACCAAGAGATGAAATGTTATCACTAAACACTAGTAGTTACAGAAATAACTAAGAGATGAAATGTTATCACTAAACAATAGTAGTTACAGAAATAACCAAGAGTTGAAATGTTATCACTAAACACTAGTAGTTACAGAAATAACTAAGAGATGAAATGTCATTATAGTTATGGAAATAACCACAAGATAAAAAGAGTATCAAAATGTTTTCCATGTGTCTCAAACAAGTGTAAGTAAACAACAGTACTATTGACTATGACTTACCATCCAAAAGATCTCTTATCTTGTCGAGATAAATTTCAAAGTAAGATACCTACAAAAATAAACACGACCAACTATTACACTGAAATTGCTCTAGAACAGGGAAATAAAAACTTGATCTCCTGAATTCTATACTTTCTATCATTTTACACATATTTACAAAATCCTATTTTTTTTTATGCTTAGAACCAGATACAACAGTTTATCAATCTTATGAGTTAAAAAAAGTTACCGAGGATCAATTTCTACAAAAAATGTCAAGTTATAATTTTTGTTATATTATATTTTTTAGAGCTATACACATACAAACACGTATTAAATAAAAATTAAAACATCTGTCCAAAAAGGTTTAGTATGGTGTGCAACTTCCATGAGCTGTCAAAAACAAAACAACTTAAAATTGAAAGGTAATGGAATGTTTCAACAAGAACGATATACAGTTTTGTTATTTAATCTATGTCACAAATTCAGAGTAAGAAAGCAGTATTGAAGTCTGATTCATTGAAAAAAAAGGTCTGGTAAGTATACAGGGCCAGGAAGATGGGACTGATAGCATCCTAGTGGTTTACAAATGAACCTGTAGCAGACTGATAGCATCCTAGTGCTTTACAAATGAGCCTGTAGCGAACTGATAGCATCATAGTGCTTTACAAATGAGCTTGTAGTGAACTGATAGCATCATAGTGCTTTACAAATGAGCTTGTAGTGAACTGATAGCATCATAGTGCTTTACAAATGAGCCTGTAGCGGACTGATAGCATCCTAGTGCTTTACAAATGAGCCTGTAGTGGACTGATAGCATCCTAGTGATTTACAAATGACCCTGTAGCAGACTGCTAGCATCATAGTGCTTTACAAATGAGCCTGTAGTGAACTGATAGCATCCTAGTGATTTACAAATGACCCTGTAGCAGACTGCTAGCATCATAGTGCTTTACAAATGAGCCTGTAGTGAACTGATAGCATCCTAGTGATTTACAAATGAGTTTTTAGCGAACTGATAGCATCATAGTGCTTTACAAATGAGCTTGTAGTGAACTGATAGCATCCTAGTGCTTTACAAATGAGCCTGTAGTGAACTGATAGCATCCTAGTGCTTTACAAATGAGCCTGTAGCAGACTGCTAGCATCATAGTGCTTTACAAATGAGCTTGTAGCAAACTGATAGCATCCTAGTGCTTTACAAATGAGTTTTTAGCGAACTGATAGCATCATAGTGCTTTACAAATGAGCTTGTAGTGAACTGACAGCATCCTAGTGCTTTACAAATGAGCTTGTAGCGAACTGATAGCATCATAGTGCTTTACAAATGAGCTTGTAGCAAACAGATTGCATCATAGTGCTTTACAAATGAGCTTGTAGCGAACTGATAGCATCCTAGTGCTTTAAAAATGAGCCTGTAGTGGACTGATAGCATCATAGTGCTTTACAAACGAGCCTGTAGTGGACTGATAGCATCATAGTGCTTTACAAATGAGCTTGTAGTGAACTGATAGCATCCTAGTGCTTTAAAAATGAGCTTGTACCGAACTGATAGTGTTTGCTACAGGCTCATTTGTAAAGCACTAGGATGCTATCAGTTCACTACAAGCTCATTTGTAAAGCACTAGGATAGGCTCATTTGTAAAGTACTAGGATGCTATCAGTAGCAAACTGATAGCATCCTTGTGCTTTACAAATGAGCCTGTAGTAACTGTTGCAGTATGGAGTAGAATATTACCATTCTGAAAAATGCTGCCAAGGAGTAACAGTGGTGTCTCATAGGTCAAATTTAGTCTCCTTAGTCATTTTTAGTCTTGTAGTGACTATGATGTCTCACAGGACAACTTAGTCTCCTAGGTCATTTTTATTCTTGTAGTGACTATGACGTCTCACGGGTCAAATTTAGTCTCCTAGGTCATTTTTATTCTTGTAGTGACTATGACGTCTCACGGGTCAAATTTAGTCTACTAGGTCATTTTTACTCTTGTAGTGACTATGACGTCTCAAGGGTCAAATTTAGTCTCCTAGGTCATTTTTACTCTTGTAGTGACTATGATGTCTCAAACAACAAATATAGTTTCTTAGGTCATTTTTGTTATGAATATCTGGTACTTGGTCTTTCAGCTTAATGACTGGAAAAACATTTAATGTTGATTGTTTGACATCTTTTTCATTTTTTCCCTATGTCCTCAGTTAATGGTGATGGCCCAACTGTTTCTACAAATATGTCTTTCTCAGAAATATATACAGTTTTTAAGTCTTACTTTTATATAAACACAAACATTATGCAGAAAATCAATACATCTGTATCACGATATAGAAAAGTTCTGAGCTTAGGTCACAGCTTTTTTCTGACACTGGCTAATGATATCCCATATTGAACTTTCAGCACATTTTAGTAACTGTTGTCTTCCTGTTTCATTCCACGATGTAATTCAACATGCACATTTTAGTAACTGTTGTCTTCCTGTTTCATTCCACGATGTAATTCAACATGCACATTTTAGTAACTGTTGTCTTCCTGTTTCAGATGACTCTCTCGTTACTAAGACTGGAAAGTGTTATTAACAATTAACTAGGATTTTTTTTATGACTCTCGTTACTAAGACTGGAAAGTGTTATTAACAATTAACTAGGATTTTGATGACTTTCTCGTTACTAGGACTGGAAAGTGTTATTAACAATTAACTAGGATTTTGATGACTCTCTCGTTACTAGGGGTTATGTTGGGGTTGAACAGAATGTAAAAAGTTCTGTTTCTTTGAACATCAGCCTTTTTTCTGCTCAATGAACATAAGAATCATGCTTAACCTCACATTGAACCGTCTACAATCTGTTTTAATACAGTATAGATGTTCTTCATGAGCAACAATTACAGAAAGCAGTAGTTGTAGAAAGACAAGTGAGTGAAACAAGAGGACAACAGTTACTAAAATGTGCATGTTGAATTACATCGTGGAATGAAACAGGAAGACAACAGTTACTAAAATGTGCATGTTGAATTACATCGTGGAAAAAAAATCCTAGTTAATTGTTAATAACACTTTCCAGTCTTAGTAACGAGAGAGTCATCAAAATCCTAGTTTATTGTTAATAACACTTTCCAGTCTTAGTAACGAGAGAATCATCAAAAATCCTAGTTAACTGTTAATAACACTTTCCAGTCTTAGTAACGAGAGAGTCATCAAAATCCTAGTTTATTGTTAATAACACTTTCCAGTCTTAGTAACGAGAGAGTCATCAAAAATCCTAGTTAATTGTTAATAACACTTTCCAGTCTTAGTAACGAGAGAGTCATCAAAATCCTAGTTAATTGTTAATAACACTTTCCAGTCTTAGTAACGAAAGAATCATCAAAAATCCTAGTTTATTGTTAAAAACACTTTCCAGTCTTAGTAACGAGAGTCATCAAAATCCTAGTTTATTGTTAATAACACTTTCCAGTCTTAGTAACGAGAGAGTCATCAAAAATCCTAGTTTCAAGATGATTTTTTAAACTAATGTTTAAACTCCCATCCATACTGTAATATAAAACACTGGGTAATAAAAAACTTCAAATACATTCTGGGATAAAACAGTAATTTATTCATTCTTATTTCATATAGTTACTCTAACCAATGTTATATCAATTATAATAAGACCGATTGATAATCTGGTCTACTAATTATATATATTACAGCACAGTGAGAATCAAATTGATAAACGTTCTTTCTGGATACATTTAGACACAATACAGTAAATGTATTATAATTGGTTATTGTAAAGAAGTAAAATGAGCATCACTCAAGTTAAAACTACCTTGATGTGAAACTCTACATTTTCATCCATCGAGTAGATATAATTAAATATGTCGTTAACAATACGTGGAATTATCCCTTGCCTGATTGAGTCGTCCAGCACACCCTGCAAAGTAAAAAAGGAATTAGGTTTTGAAGTGATGAACTAAATATGTATCTCAGAAGTCAAATATGCTTGTAAAAATATATATTCTTGAATTGGTGATTTAAAATTCTTCAACCAAGAATTCCTTTCACCTCAAATACTACCCTCACCTGATAGAAGGTGCAATTTAAAACTAGCTAAAACTGAAATATTTTTCAGGCCTAAAATAAATAAATTCTACATGGAATATGTTAACATGAATTTTATCCATCATAATTACCGTTCCTTCGGAGAGTTCGATGGAAAGATGACAAAGATTATGATTAATGCATTTTTTTTAATAATTAAATTTTCAACATAAATCAATTTTATTTAACATTAAAAATTTCCTAACTGGATCCATCCAATCAATTCTTACAATTTTCTATAATAATATGATTACGTATGAAAGATGACAAAGATTATGATTAATGCTTTTTTTTTAATAATTAAATTTTCAACATAAATCAATTTTATTTAACTTTAAAAATTTCCTAACTGGATCCATCCAATCAATTCTTACAATTTTCTATAATAATATGATTACGTAAAAACTTTCACGAAATATTAAATTAGATATTAAGTCAAATTTCATTATTCATTAACTCTAAGAATTTACATATATATATATTGGAAGTGATAAGATTTAAAAAAAAGTACATTACACAAAATTAATATGTATTTAAAACATGTAGGATCTAAAAGGTTGGAAAATCCCATTAAAAGCTATAAAACTAACGTATTACCAGGTAGACTTGTTGAGAATGTTAAGATTTAATATTTTTGTTTTCTTGATGCACATTACAGAAAATAATTACTTTTCAAGACATATCGTTATCAAAATCTTTAAAAAATAACTTAAAATAGAGCTTCTTTGTGTGAAAATCTGGTGCAGATATAACACTGCATTCATTCAATCTTTGTTTCAATTTTTTTGTGAATGGGCCTTATTTCACACACAAATAATAGGGTAGATTATTTTTATTAACCAACAATTGTGTGAATGGACCTTATTTGACACTGAAATAATAGGGTAGATTATTTTTTAACCAACAATTTGTATGAATGGGCCTTATTTCACACACAAGTAATAGGGTAGATTATCTTTATTGAACTACAATTTGTATGAATGGGCCTTATTTCACACACAAATAATAGGGTAGCTTATCTTTATTGAACTACAATTTGTATGAATGGGCCTTATTTCACACACAAATAATTAGGGTACATTATCTTTATTGAACTACAGTTTGATGAATAGATCTTATTTCACACACAAATAATTAGGGCAGATTATTTTTATTGAACTACAATTTGTGTGAATGGATCTTATTTCACACACAAATAATTAGGGTAGATTATTTTTATTGAACAACAGTTTGATGAATGGATCTTATTTCACACACAAATAATAGGGTAGATTATCTTTATTGAACTACAGTTTGATGAATGGATCTTATTTCACACACAAATAATTAGGGTAGATTATTTTTATTGAACTACAGTTTGATGAATGGATCTTATTTCACACACAAATAATTAGGGTAGATTGTTTTTATTAAACTACAATTAGAACAACTCCTGAATTATTCACTTTTATTAAAACAATATCAGTAAATTATCTTGTACTTCTAAGACTGCATCTACAAATACATTTTGTGCTAATATCAATTCTTTTTACAAAAATAAACAGAACTATCTAGAACTTTGTAATCTGGTATAAGACATGTTCCAACCTCAGTACTGCTTATATAAACAGCTCTGTTCCAAGCATGAACAAGAAGTTTTACCAAGTTAACATCTACAAACATGTGGGTCTGACTTACTTCCATCGTGTGTGTTTTTCCACTAGATGTCTGGCCATAGGCAAATATTGTTCCATTGTAGCCCATAAGGACATCTGTAGTACAGTTTAAATATCAAGAAAATTTATAATATGACTGCTTAATAATGATTAAAATATCTAGTGATGTTCTAGAGTACAGGCATCAATTTTCACCATTTCTAAAACTACTATTTGATGTCCCCCCCTCATTCCTACTTAATACTGTGTGTGAGAAAATAAAACACTTATTGAGAATATACTTATTCCTAACACGAGAGAATTTAAACCTTCTGGTGTTCATATAAAGAACAAAAAAAAGTCTATTGTCTATGTAACATTTTCTATTTAAACAAAAAGAACTTAAAATGAATTCCTAAGTCAACAATTAAAAGTAAAGTTGCAAAAACATTTGTCCTCACATTTTGTAAAGTGTTTTACTAACACTCATTAACAAAAGGTCACAGAAAAAATGTTTTAATTAGGCTAAGTCACATTTAAATAAACTCCTATAATATCCTATATAAAGTGTTTTAGTAACACTCATTAATAAAAGGTCGTAGAAAAAATAAAATATTTTATTAGACTAAATCACATTTAAATAAACTCCTATTTGTTGTTTCCCACCAGAGTTACATTTTAACAATGACGTCATATACAGATATTATCATCACCCACACACAATATTTATCTAGTCAGCTGGGCGGTCGCGTCTTGGGTGAATCAATACACACGTCACCACCGCTGGTATGGGTAGTTTTTCGCTGGCGCCAGCACTGTCTAGGATAGCACGTAGAGTGTACAATGGTAACACACACACACACTACTAAGGGATATCTAAACACTTCCCTGCATTGCAGCCACGACAAAGCAGCGAATACGTGGAAAATTCGCCACCCGAAGTCACCTGATTCCAAATACATTATTTATATATACGTGTACGTGTCTAAATATATTGTAGATAAAGATTCATAATTATCTAAACCCTTCTAACACACGTATGTATTTCTGGTATCCCATTTCGCAGGGAATTTGTAATTAATGCGTTATTTCAGCAGAGCTGAAATTTGTTACATTTTGTAATGACATTAACCATATAGCACGTGCCTCAATATAACCCTATACATTTAAGTTGTTTTATTAGCTAAACTAATACACCATATTTATATAAGTTATTAAATAAAGCCACAACATATGATTGAAATTATTTATGTATTGTAATTAACAGTATATTTTTATCTTTCATTTGTCAATGTCTACGTGTATAGAATAGTGTTCTACGAAACGTTTTGTCAGTGTCTATGTGTGTAGAATAGTGTTCTACGAAACGGTTTGTCAGTGTTTACGTGTATAGAATAGTGTTCTACGAAACGGTTTGTCAGTGTTTACGTGTATAGAATAGTGTTCTACGA